AGGTCTTTTTTTTGTGGGGAAGAAATATACTGGCTAGTACATGGGGCGCCGTATGGTGCTGGGGATCAAATTCAGGGTTCCCATAAGTAGACTATGCATTCCAGTGCTTTGAGCTGTCTCCCCAGCCCCACTCTAGGGTCCTTGACAAAGCAGTGATTGATCGGTTTTTTATAATCTTGAGTATGATAAGCCCATATTCTTCATATTAATTTGTCATACGAAAGTAATTTCCCTTCTCATGGTTTATTTTTCCTTTGTGACATAGCACATTTTTTAAAAGAAGCTCTTTTTCCTTCCTTTTCTTTGTTGTGTGATCTCAGGGTTTTTCAGGTTTGGTTATTGTGCTCACCAGGCCACACTCATCTGTTGTGGTGTGCCAGAGATTATACATCCTACTCAGGGATGTGGGGTGGTGTAGGGATCAAACTCACTGCCTCGTGCCTGCAAGGGAGGTTTTCAACAACAGAGCCACATCTTTCAGGCCTCTCAGGCATACAACTATTTTCCTCCTTCTCTTCAATACTACTTTTTCTTTAATATATATATATATATTTTTTTTGTGGGGGTGGGGTTGACCAAACCTGATGATGCTCAGAGGTTACTCTTGGCTTGCACTTAGGAATCACTCCTGGCAGTGCTTGAGAGGCCAAATGGGATGCGGGGATCGAACCCAGATCTGCCATGTGTAAGGCATGCATCTTTACTTGCTGTACTATTGCTCCAACCCCTGCTCCCTCAACAGTTTTCATTGAAGTATCATACTATATACAGTTTTGTTTTCGGGGGGTGGGGGTCCTTTGGTATTGCTCAAGACTTACTTCTGGCTCTGCACTCAGGAATTACTCCTGGTAGGATTGGGAGACCATATGGGGTGCTGGGGATTGAGCCTAGGTTGGTGCATACAAGACACACACCCTGCGTGCTGTCCTGTTGTTCCGCTCCGTGATTATTAGTTTATACTTGGCAGTACTGCTGCACTGTGTCGCCAGCATGCCAAGATCCCTCCTTTATTATCTAGGGTCTCTTCTTCCCTCCTTCCCCACTGAGTGTCCTCAGCTCCAGTTCTTTTGACCATGTCCCAGGTTTTGTTTCCACCCCGAGTTATCTAATCTGCTGCTTTGTTTCTCTCTGCTCTGAATATGAGAGTGATCAGCTTATTTGGGTGACACATTCATAACTCAGGATCCTATTCCTACCTTTTCATTTTCCATAAAATATAGGTTGTTGGCAAGAATCTCTGCATTGAGAAACTGCATTTGTTCATCATAATGACATCAATTTTTTTTTTTTTTGCTTTTTGGGTCACACCTGGCGATGCTCAGGGGTCACTCCTGGCTCATGCACTCAGGAATTGCTCCCAGAGGTGCTCAGGGGACCATATGGGGTGCTGGGAATCGAACCTGTGTCGGCCATGTTGGCTGCATGTAAGGCAAACACCCTATCCACTGTGCTATCGCTCCAGCCCCAATGAGCATCAATCTTTTAAAATTAAAAGATAATCATTAATCATCAGGGAGATGCAAATCAAAACCACAATGAGGTACCACCTCATACCACAGAGACTGGCCCATATCCACAAGAACAAAAGCAACCGGTGCTGGTGCGGATGTGGTGAGAAAGGGACACTCCTTCACTGTTGGTGGGAATGCCGACTAGTTCAGCCCTTCTGGAAAACAGTATGGATGATTCTCAAAAAACTAGAAATTGAGCTCCCATTTGACCCAGCAATACCACTCCTGGGAATATATCCCAGAGAGGCAAAAAAGTATAGCCGAAGTGACATCTGCAATTGTCTGTTTATTGCAGCACTCTTTACAATAGCCAGAATCTGGAAAAAACCTGAGTGCCTGAGAACAGATGACTGGTTGAAGAAACTCTGGCACATTTACACAATGGAGTACTATGTAGCTGTTAGAAAAGACAAAGTCATGAAGTTTACATACAAGTGGTACTACATAGAAAGTATCATGCTAAGCGAAATGACTCAGAAAGAAAGGGATAGACATAGAAAGATTGCATTCATCTGGGAAACATAAAGTAACAAAATAGGAAACTAACACCCAAGTATGGCAGAGGTTAGTACCAGGAATTTTACTCAATGACCCGGAGGACAACCACACATGTTAGGGGAAGGGGGAGCTCAGAAAGAGAAGGGAACACCAAATAAAGGGTGTTGGGAGGATCCGCCCACGATGGGAGAGCATGCTGAGGGTAGACTGTCGACCAAGCATGATTGCCACTCAATGCCTCTTTTGCAGACCATGGCACTCAAAAGGAGAGAGAGGGAAATGCCCTGCCACAGAGGCAGGGTGGGATGGGGGCTGGGGGGGAGGGGATGCTGGGGTCCGTGGTGGTGGGAAATGCGCACTGGTGGAGGGATGGGTGTTTGATCATTGTATAATCGAAACCCAAGCACAAAAATGTGTAAGTCTACAACTGTACCTCATGGTGCCTCACTATTAAAAAATAAATAAAAAAGAAAATTAAAAAATAAAATTAAAAGATATCTAATTAATATCATTGCCTTTCGGTGTCTAAGATGGTTTTCTGGTGACCTTTCAGAAATCCAGATGGATGTTGCACCATTTTCAATCTCTATCTTTGGTGTTTTTAAAATTGAGGACTAAAGTAAGGTTTTTATCAGTGTTTTGGTTTGAATTTTGCCTTTGTGACTACTCTTCAAGGTAGACTTTCAAATACATTCAGTTCTTATTTTATTTAATCCTTGAATGGCTGAGGTGTCCCTAAGTTTGTAGGAGACTGGCCAGCTTCAGTGACTTCTCCGTGGCCGTCAGAGTTGTCAGAATCCAATATAGCTGTCTCTGGGGTGTGTGACCTTGGAAAAACATGTTTTTGTTGTTGTATGTTCTTGCTTTCTAGTAATTTTATTTTTTGCTCAAAGGATTTAGTATCTGTTCAGATACTTTATTGCTTTATTTTTAAAGGCCACATAACAAATGACTTGACCTCTAATCTTAGCTTTGAAAATCTTAGCAGATACTAGTAAAGATAATATCTAATGACTTATTATCGAGAATACTACTTACTGGCCTGCAGGTAAAACTACTTAAGAATAGCCATTTTGCTCTGAAAATTATTTTTATGACTAAAAGACTTTCCTTAGAAAAATCATGCATGTAATATAATTTGGTGATGGCTGGGCCTATGTTTATAATACTTTTGCATGGTGTCTCCGAGAATGACTGTAGTTTAAAATTTCTTACTGTAGATACTATACTAAGCTATTAATAAGTCCTGAGAAAATTACAAATCATGGTTTTCTCAGAAATAGTCCCTACTTTGTGACATTTTAGTCACAAAGATTGTATAGTAAGTCTTATTTGCATGATAGAAAATTTGTGTGTTTCACAGGGGATCAAATTAAATGAAGACTAGGCTTGTCACTTAAATGATCTAGACTGTCTGCATCAGGATTCAAGCATAATAATTAATGAAGTAAAAGAAGTTTACCATACAGTGTTTATGTTAGGGTAGTTTCTTGAAGAGGATTGTGTGGAAAAGCACTTTTCTTCCAGATGTCTGGACAAAGCTCAGGTTGTCCTTTTTGGCCTGTTTTTATTTGTCAGATCTTACCTATAATAGCAGACCCTTTTGGGACTAACATACCCTTTTGGTTTTGTGAGGTCTGTGGAGGAAACTACACTAAAAATGTGTTGCTACTTTGATATTTTCTTGTTTGTTTTTTTGGTTGAGATGATGTTCTTTGTTGCTGAATTCTTAGATTATGAAAAGAGAAGAAACAGTTTGCTTAATTATCATCATTCCAATCTTTTTTTTTTTTTTTTTTTTTGCTTTTTGGGTCACACTCAGCGGTGCTCAGGGGTTACTCCTGGCTCTTCACTCAGGAATTACTCCTGGCGGTGCTGGGGAACTTGGGATGTTGTGGATCGAACCTGGGTTGGCTGTGTGCAAGGCAAACGCCCTACCCGCTGTATTATCACTCCGGACCTTCCAGTCATTTTTTTTTTTATAATGTAGGAGTACTGCTATTTATTCAGCCATTGATTAAGCTGTCTAATCAATTTTTGATTGGAATCACTACAATCTATTTTTTGATGAGGAAGTGGGTTTGGACCACACTTGGTGGTACTCAGGGCTTACTTCTGTCTGTCATTCGTGATGGTGCTTGGGAGACCATTCCTGATGGTGCTGGAGATTGAACATGGATCGGCCACATGCAAGGCAGGGGCCTTGTCCTGTACTATTTCTCTCGCCCTAATTGTAGCTTTTCATTGAAATCTATTATTGCCTCTTTAGATAATCCTGAAAGAGATTTGAAAAATTGAAATTTTCCCCTTGGTCTTGGTAGGGAAATATTTTCAATTCATTTACTTGAGACTATAAAATAGTTTATTCTTCCTTTTCCTGTGGCAAGAGTTATGAACATAAAAGTCACAAACTGAATCATTGTTAATTTTTAAAAGTTTTTAGCTGTAACAGTGACAAATAATGTGCCTGGCTATTAAATGGAAAAAAATAAAAAAGATTTTCCGCTTGTTCGTTTTGAGCCTTTCAAAGATATTATACCCGCTGGAAATAATAATAAAAAAAATTAGGCCTTATACAGCACTTTTTTGTATGAGAAACTCCTATGAACACTGATGCATTGATCCTAACACAGTGCTTGATTATGACTTGAAAAGGTCATGAGTTGCCATGTTAAAAGGGTGGGCAGAAAAGAGAAGGAACTGTAATTTATAAATATTATTTTTAAATAATCTAGATGCAAGTTGTATTAGATAACTGAAAAAAAATTATTGGGGATTTTTATTGTCAACTTTTTTCCTAGCCTGTGATAGATTTTTATCCTCTCATGGTTTTTCTCCACATTTTAAGATGAATCTACTTGAAGCTTCATTTCTGTTCTGAATTGGGAGATCTTTTGTTTAGTATTTGTGTTATGTAACTGTTAATTTAATGAATACAACAGTCATGTGGCTTACCTCTTTTCAACTTTTTTTTGTGTGTGTATTTTGTAGGTTTATTCTTCAATCCAAGGAAGTAATTCACAATCAACTTTTGGAGAAACAGAAAATAGCAGAAGAAAAAATTAAAGAACTGGAAGTAAGTTTGGAGTGGGTATTAATAATAGTAGTCAGCTTCTAGGAAAAAAGTAATCCTCTCACTGTTATATTAAATGACATTGTATGCTTGCAGAAGTCACGTCATACTGTCTACTAAAAATTTTGTTGTTTTGGTTTATGAGCCACACCTGGCAGGGCTTGGGGATTATTCCTGGCCCAGTGCTCAGGGGTTCCTCCCACAGTGCCTAGAGGACTGTGATGTGGTTCCATGATCAGACACAAGCCTCTTGCATGCAAAGCATACACTCAGTTTATTGAACTGTCACTCTAGTCCTGGTTTTAATTTTCTTTTCTTTTTTTTTTGCTTTTTGGGTCACACCCAGCGATGCATGGGGGTTACTCCTGGTTCTGCACTCAAGAATTACTCCTGGCGGTGCTGGGGAACCATATGGGATGCTGGGAATTGAACCCGGGTTACCCAAGTGCAAGGCGAACATCCTATCCTCTGTGCTATTATTGCTCCAGCCCCAGTTTTAATTTTCTTACTGTCTTGAAATAGTGAAGCATTCTTTCTCATGGCATGCAGATGAACAAAAAGCATTTTTCTTTTCTTTTTTTTTTTTTGAGGTCTGGGAGAGGTTAATGTTCAGCAATGCTTGGGGGCCACCAGGGCCACCTTGACAGTGCTTGGGCATAGAGAATTTTCATTTCTCCACATCCATCCCAGATTAGGGACTATTCTCTGATTTGTGCTTAGACATCACTCTCCCTGGTGCTCAGGGAACCATGCGGTCCTGGGGATTGATCCTGAGCCTTCTGCAGATAAAGCATTTGCTCAGCCTGTTGAACCATTTCTCGAGCTTTGGTATAGAGAATTTTGAGGAAGGTATTATGCTGTTATCATTAAAGTGGTTACTCCATTGTGTTTGAATGGACAAGTCTGTTCTTAAGAACATACAAAAATAGGATCAGAAAGACAGCTCCCTTGCATGTAGCTCACCCTCTTTCAGTCCCTGGGACCACCAGGCATGGTTCATCTGAGCCACCGAGACAAGAGTATGCCCTGAGTACTGCTGGGTGTGGCCCTAACATTCCTCTCTGGGATAAAAAAAAAAAAAGAAAAACAACCCAAAAAGAGAGAATACTAGAGAGAAGGCACTTGCCTTAAATGCAGTGCATCGGCTGCAACCCTGTGGATCCCCAGCACCACATATGCTGCCCTGAGCACTGCTGGGCTCATTCCTTTGAACACGGAACTAGGAATAGCCCTTGAGCACTGCTGGGCACACTCCTCTGAGCCCTGCCAGGTGTGGCTCATAAACCAAAACAACAAAATTTTTAGTAGACAGTATGATCTAGGAATAGCTCCTGAGCACTGCTGGGTGTGCTGCTCCCCTTTCCCTCCACACATCCCGCCCCCAGTATATGTCAAAGTGTGTGATACCCACCACCCTCCCAATGGGTGCTGGAATGAGCTATGGGAATAGTAGTAGCTTCATTGCATTTTGGGGTTCGTTGGTGCTTTCTATTTGTTTGCTTAGAGAAGGGATATTCAAGACGTATACTGGTGGAGGGATGGATGTCGGAGCACATATGACTGAAACCCAATCATGAACAGCTTTGCAATATTTATTGCATGGTGATTCAATAAAAAAATAAAAATAAAGGAAGGTAGATTTACAGGGGGTGCTGTGGAATGATAATCATAACAAAAGAATTTTGATATATCTTTTATACACATAAATTTTTTGTTTTTGGATTATTTTGGTTGGTTGGTTTGGTATTCAGGGGCCATTCCCACCAGCTTGGTGCTCTGTGGTCATTCTAGGTAATGCTGGGGCTTGAACCCAGGACTCCTCTTGTAAGGCATGTACTCTAGCCCTTTGAGCTATTTCCTAGCTCCACACATTAGAATTCTAGCACAGATTAGGTTCTAGACAGGGACTGAGTAATAAACTATAACTAATATATTTGAAGGATGATACTACAATGAGAAGCCTCCCACCTCCTAACCCCCCTCTCCCCCAAAGAAAAAGGGAAGCTAAGGGAAAATCATTGGTAAAAGTAATAGTTGATACTTAGAAAATTGAAGCTTTTTCAATTTCCTTAATGAGATATTCCTCATGGACTTTGGTGGAAGATCCATCCTGTATATTGTAAATGTTGGACTGGATACAAAACTGGTTATTATTTCTTTAGGACCAAGATTTCCTGAGATGGGGGTGGATACAGTGACTTCATAGGTCACTTTATCTTATTTCTGTGAGGGCGCTTTGAGGCAGAAGTTCAGAATCTGAGTCAGCCTATTGGTGAGAGAGCCCCTGCTGCCCCCGGTAGTCTCTGAGATCACCGACTGGGCATGGCCTCGGAGCACCAGCGTCTTAGGGTACTTAGATGTTTCTCCTATTGCTGATGATAAATTAAACAAATTTAATAACATTGTAGTTTAGAAACATGTAAAATTTATTTATATGGGGTTTGGGGCTATACCTGCGGTGCTCAGGGGTTGTTCCTGACCCTGTCCTCAGAAACCTGGCGCTGCTCAAAGATCCATATGGGTACAGGGAGTCAAGTCTGGTTCTGCTGTGAGCATGACACCTTATCTGCAGTGTATCTCTCTAGCCCTCCTAGCCTGTATTTTTCATACTATCACTCACAGTACTCTGTGCTCTTCCCTGAAGTAATCATATTCTTTTCCTGCGTTGGTCTGAAATGTTTGCATGTGCACATTCTGCTGATGTGCATTGATAATTGAGGTGCTCAGATTTCCGGCGTTTCTTACTTTTCCACCCTTGCTTTGTTAGTCACTGAGAGATGTGTCAGATCACCTTTTGCGATCCTGTCAGGGCAGGCGAGGGGGCAGTGGTACTGAGGTACTATCCGGGAACAAGGAGTCAGTTTTCCTATATACATGTTTAGAGGACAAACATTTTTTGCTTTTTATTTTAGGACTATTTTTATTCTTATAATTAATTTTTCTCCTTATTTCAAGACTGTATTAGTGTACCAGTTTTTTTTTTTCCTGACTTCTAATGTTGCTGTTGAGAAATTATCTGTTGGTTTAATTATTGTGCCTTTGTGTTTTTCTCTCTGGCAGTTTTAAATAGTCTTTTCTTTGTCTTTTGTGCTTTGTAGAATCTTTGAAATATATTTACACATGGATTATGTTCTTTTGATTTTGGGCTCTCCTGGCTTTGTGCTCAGGGATAACTCATGATAGTGCTTGGGCGGGGGTGGGGGGGTTACATATGGTGCCAGAGATGAAACTGGGTTTTGGTTGCATGCAAGGCAAGCATCTTAATCTTCTTACAGTCTCTCTGGCCCCTGGATTATTTTTCTTTTCTTTTCTTTCTTTTTTGGGTCACACCTGGATTTGTGCTCAGGGATCACTCCTAGTGGTACTCAAGGATCACTCCCAGTGGTGCTCAAGGGACCATTTGTGGTGCTGGGGATCAAACTGGGGTTGGCTGCATTCATTGTCTAAACTTTTGTTTTGTTTTTGGACCATGCCCACTGATGCTCAGGAATCACTCCTGATGGGCTCAGGGTACCATATGGGATGCGGGGATCAAACTCAGGTTGGCAGCTTGTAGGCAAGTGCTCTACCCACTGTACTATCTCCCCTCCCAGCCTCCCCCTTCCCCCAATCTCCCTGGATTATTTCTTAATCCTAGTTGGATTTGTTGACTTTTCTGAATCCAGGTAAGGGTCTTTCATTAATTCTGGAAAATCCTTATCTCTGAATATTATTTAGTTCTTATTTTCTTTATTATTAATATTTCCTTCTGGAGTTACCCCACTTTTTTTTTGACTCGTACTGATGGTGCTCAGGGGTTGCTCTTCTGTGTTGGGGTGGGAGTGGATATCAGATCACTTCCATTGATGTTGAGGGATCATCTGGTGCTGGGGATCAAATCTAGGGTTCCCTTATGCAGAGCTTATGTTCAAACCTCTGAATTATCTCTGGTCTTGGATTTCCCCTCTGAAACCACCAGTCACTACCTTATATACTAACAACTGGTTTTCCCATCTCCAGCTTTTGACATCTTTTTCTTTTGTTTTTGGGGCAGGCTCCTTACCTGCTGTACTATTAATCTGCCCCAAATTTTTATTTTATTTATTTATTTATTTATTTATTTTGCTTTTTGGGTCACACCTGGAAAGTATATGGTCAGGAAATTAACTCCCGTTTTCCCGTAGCACCAAGTTATGCACAGGGGTTACTCCTGACTCTGCACTCAGGAATCAGCCCTGGCAGTGCTCAGGGAACCATATGGGATGCTGGGAATCGAACCTGGGTTGGCCGCGTGCAAGGCAAACACCCTACCCGCTATGCTATTGCTCCAGCCCCTGCCCCAAATTTTTAACATTTAAACTAGAATAATTTTCTAAATGTTAAATCTCATCATAGTATTCCTTCCTATACATGATCACTGTTCCCAGGGTAAAGTTCAGAAGTTTTTGTCGTTACAGTTGTGTGGGACATTTCTAGTGCTGGAGGGCCCTGCCCTGCCTGGGCTAGAACCCAAAGCCTGGAGCATGTTGGCATATATGTGTAACATACCTTTAAGACTCTTCATGAAATGATTTATTTTCTTTCTTCCTCTTTTTCTTGTCCAAATTTTATACAGTATGTACCAGACAGGAAAAAAAAAAGTTTTTAATGACTTGGTGTTTCTACTAGGTTTTTAGTTTTTATTTATTTATTTTTTGGTTTTCGGGCCATGCTGGTTGTGCTCAGGGCCCACTTCGGGCTCTGTGTTTAGGGCTCACTCCTGATAGACCTGAGACCATGTGGAGTCCTGGGGGATCAAACTCACGTGGCTGTGTGTGAGGCATTCGCCCTCCCTGCTGTCCTGTTGTTCTACGAGGTTTTTAAAAAGTTAGTTTCCCCCTGTCTGGGAACTTTCTGCCTTTCCATTTGTAGTGGTTTATCTTTTTAAAAATTTCCCCTTCCCATGTTGTTTCTGTAATGGCCAGATTACACGCACTTGGTTGTGGTGCTTGCTGGGATCACACATTTTAATTACATAGCACAGT